TTTACAGCCTATCAGCAAATCATCTGGACCCCAGCCACGTTCTCACCACCTCCTTCCTTCTCTACTGCTTTGGTCTAAGCTGCTACCCTCTTCCACCTGCATTACTGCAAAAGCCACCATCTTATCTGGTTTCCTTGCTTGGTACTAGCTTCCCTACAAAGTGTATATATATATATATATATATATATATATATATATATATATATAGACACACAGTCTTGTTCTGTTGCCCAGGCTGGAGTGCAGTGGTGCGATCTTGGCTCACTGTAACCTCCGCCCAGGTTCAAGCAATTCTATGCCTCAGCCTCCCAAGCAGCTGGGATTATAGATGCCCACTGCCATGTCTGGCTAATTTTTTGTATTTTTAATAGAGACATGTTTCACCATGTTGGCCAGGCTGGTCTCTAACTCCTGACCTCATGATCCACCTACCTCAGCTTCCCAAAGTGCTAGCATTACAGATGTTAGCCACTGCACCCAGCCCCTAGAAACATTTTTAAAGCAGCAGCCAGAGTGATCCTTTTAATGCACAAGTCAGATTATGTTACTCTTCTGCTCAAACCCCTTAAATGCATCCCAACTCAGAGAAAAAGACAAAGCCCTTACAAAGGTCTTCAAGGTCCAAAGTGATCTAGTCCAACTATACCCAGTGCATCCTAAGCACCAGCCACAATACTCCTGGAAGATGTCGATTATGTTCCCACCTCAGGCCTTTGCACCACTGGTTATTCCTTCTTCCTGGAATGTTCTTCACAAGATACCTGCACAGCTCCCTCCCTTATCTCCTTCTCAGCGTGGCCTTCCCTGGCCACACCATTTTAAATTCCAGCCACCTCCACAAGCCCTCCCTAACTCCCTCATCTGTATGATTTTTTTTTTAATTTTGCTTATCAATATCTGACATAACAGACATTTTATTTTTTTACTTACTGTCTCCACTAACTAAAATATAAGCTCTATGAGGACGTGGGCTCTTATTTATTCACTATTGTATTACCAGAAAGGTAGCTGTGAGGGAAAGAAAAAAATTTGGGATGAATAATAAGTACTGTTAGGAAAACATGGCAGGGAAGTTGGGGAGGAGTACTGGGGGGCTTGGGAGAGAAGGGCTGCAATTTGACATACAGTGTGCAGAAAAGGCCTTAAGAAGGAGATATTTGAGTAAGGACTTGAAGGCAACGAGGGAAGAAATCACTCAGCAAAAATCAGCTGTCATTCGCCCAGGGCCAGTAAAAAATGAAAGTGTGAGGCCCTTGTTCACAAACTATTAAAAATCTCAAGAGATGACAGCAGGGCATTAAACCAAGTGCCTTTCTAAGCATGGGGTCTTGTGTGACTGCACAGGTAACACGCCCATGAAGCTGGCCCTGTACCCAGCTATTAGGGAAAGACAGATGGAACAGGGAGTGTAAGAAGACCAAGGAGAAACAACGCTTTGGAAACAAGCAAAGCAGCCATCCTTGTTAAAAATAGGCTCTGGCCAAGTGGGATGGCTCACGCCCGTAATCCCAGCACTTTGGGAGGCCAAGGTGGTTGGATCACGAGGTCAAGAGTTCAAGACCAGCCTGGCCAACAGAGTGAAATCCTGTCTCTACTGAAAATACAAAAATTAACTGGGCATGGTGGTGCGTGCCTATAGTCCCAGCTACTTGGGAGACTGAGGCAGGAAAAAAGCTTGAACCCAGGAGACAGAGGTTGCAGACAGCCGAGATTGCACCACTGCACTCCAGCCTGGGTGACAGAGTGAAAGTCTGTCTCAAAACAAACAAACAAAAAAGCACAGACTCCTAGACTCCTTTTCTGGATATTCCAATCCCACAGATCCAATGTCAGCTAGAATCCTTTATTTCCAGTTTGCCTCAGGGCACTCCTGTCCTGCCCAGGCAAGTTTGAGGAACATGAATATATTCCCACATCCTGAGATGTGCCTCACTGCCAGTCCTTCAGCACCACTTCAGAAAATGGCTTCCCAGCTTGATGTCCTTGTAATCCAGGGCTGGCAACCAGGTCTCCATCTCTATCTGCTGTCCGAGTCTCTGCTCTGGGAACCTCCTCATACCTAGAGTACTACTGGCTCTTACCAGTCCTCCACCAAAGGACTAAAGTCCTGCCTGGACACCCAGCTGTGTGGCTGAGCAGCTGCCATGAAGAGACAGGCTTCCCTGAGAGTTCCTGCTCATCTATGCAGGAGTGCCCGACATAGTATATAAAGGTCAACCGTTTGCCTGGACTGACTGAATTTCTAGGTGTAATGTCTCGGGTCTCTAAACCCCCAATATCTCATTTTGACCCTTTAAAAAAATAATTTAAATATGTTTTAGATGATCTTGCCAGTCAACATTAGAAACCTAATTTGCTTAACTTCTTTCTGTTCAGTCAGGAGAAGAAAAATATTTTTCTGTCTTTTTAGTTTCCACCTTGAAATCTCACAGTGAGTAAACCCAATCAATATCTGCAGATATTAGGCCAATGCAGTGGCTCACACGTGTAGTCCCAGCACTTTGGGAGGCTGAGGTGGGCAGATTGCCTGAGCCCAGGAGTTAAAGACCAGCCTGGACAACATAATGAGACTACATTTCTACAAAAAAAAAAAAAAAGAAAAATTAGCTGGGCATGTGGCTTGAGCCTATAGTCCCAACTACTCGAGGCTGAAGTGGGAAGACCACTTGAGCATCAGCAGTTGAGGCTGCAGTGAGCCATGTTATTGCCATTGCACTCCAGCATGGGTAACAGAATAAGACCCTGTCTCAAAAACAAAACAAAGCAAAACAAAAACTAAAGCTTTAAAATAAGAATATCACTTCACTGTCATGATAAGTATTATCACTTTCACTGATTCTATATTACAGGTGGAGGAGTCTCTAAAATTTTTATCAACTGTAAGCCAGGGCCCAAAATAATGAGAAATATATGTAATAAACCAGTGGTCTTCAATCACAGATAAGTTTGCCTCCAAGGGAACATCTGACAGTGCCTGAATAGGGGTGGGTGAGTGCTAGACATCTAGTAGGTAGAGGCCAGAGATGCTGCTAAATATTCTACACTGCTACAGGACAACCCCTTACAACAAAGAGTTATCTGGACCGTAACATCAACAGTGCTGAGGTTGGGAAACCCTGTAATGAACTATGTGTCACTATCAATCATAATTCCTGATTCATTATACTTGTGTTTAACTCTTAAAAATCAAAGTCTTTATAAAAGCAATGAAAAAGCTGATTTATACTTTAATTTTAAAAAAGGATAATAAGGTTAAAAGGGTAATGAGATTATATTAGACATAACAGGGATTAGAAAGCATTTGATCAAAGGTAGAGAACTGCAGTAGACAGATGTACAGGAGCTATCTATAATCAACTCAAGTGAAACCACAGGGGGTGGTGGGTCTCACAGAGATTGCATGGGAAGACAGCATGGGAAATAACACTCTTCTATGTATCATAGATTCCTAGGTGCAGTCACTAGCCTAGTAAGGCAAGATGCCCGTAAACCAGACAGAAAAGACTTTCCTTCTTCAGTAGCTGGGGTGCTGAGAGAGCTCTCAATAAGACTAGGATAAAAATAAGGATGGATATCAGAAGTAATATAAAGAAAATATTACATATTTTCATTAAAATCATATTAAAGAGTAAATAGAGAAAAACAAATGCTTTATTACCGTTAATTCAAGCCAGTCTCAATGAATGATCATACTTGCAAAACCTCCTTACCTCTCATCCATCTTCTCATCTGTAAAACGATGAATTACACCTACCTCCCTCCTAGGCTTACTGTCAAAGTTAAATAAGATAAAGATGAAACAAGACAAATGCAATGCCTGGCACACAGGAGGCATTCAGAAGGGTCGTAGCTGCAGGTATTTCCCAACTTTGCTTTCCTTGGGCTCTGACCCAAACCAGGCCCCATTAATGTACGTGGAGAATTGTAGTTCTATGTTCACATTTAGAGAACTCCCAGGAGGGCAGAATGGGGCTCTCCATGGCATGCTAAAGTCAATACATGACTGTACGGCAAGGTCCTTCCTCTCAAAATATTTAAAAGATAGAAGGACCTGATAGGTAAACATATACAGTACTGGCTTAAATGTGCAAAAAACAGTACTGATTCTCCCTCATTCGGTAAAGGGCCAGAAAGAGTTTCACTTAAAAAAAAAAAAAAAAAAAAGATATAGATAAGATCTTCCTTCTTCCCGTTGCTGTCTAAGGTGTTTCGGGAAAGAACACTGAAAACTGATACAGAGCCCAAATGTAAAAAGGCCATCACATAGCTCACAGTTAATTATAAGTAATTTTAATGAAACCATTTGTTCTCTCAGGTTTCCATGTTCTTCCCAGAGGTGTAATGCAATACACCCAAGACACACACACTTATAAATTTGTAATAAATGCAGCCCTCCAGCTTGCCTAGACCACAGTTCTTGGCTGCTGCTTAGCGACAGGTGTCACATTCGTGGTTGCCAGTGAGCCTTGAGGGTGTAATTTCACTTCTACATAAAGAAGCATAATCGATAGAACCAGAACCACCCAGTAGGAACAACTGCACCATTCCTGACTCACGGAGCTTGTTTTCACAGAGAACAAAATTCACCTCACTTGTACTTTGCGTAAATATAGAGTAGTGTGATGGGTTCTACAAATCGGGTGAAGGTGGTTCCCGAGGGTGCCAGACCCCTAGTCCTCTTTGGTTTACCTTCACGCGACAGATCTGGTCTGAGTCTGGGCGGGGCACCGGGAGCTCGATGCAGCTACCTGGGGAGGGAGCCCTGGCGGCTCGCCCCTCCCGCTGCAGGACCAGCTTTGGCGACCACTGCGGTTGCCAGCAGCACGCGCTGAGCCAGCCCGGGAGAGCCGAGCCGCCCGGGGACGCAAGCCCCCCACCCGCGACTCCCCAGCCCTCGACCCCTATCCGCAGTCCCGCCCCCGCCCCCACCCGCACCCCGAGCCGCACCGCCCCCCGCGCGGGAGCTGCCAGCCCGGGCCGCGGCGGCGCGCCCTGCTCACCGTGACACCGTACTTGAGCGCGATGCCCTGCAGCGTGTCGCCCGCGCGGACCCGGTGCTCCACATGGCGCTCGATGACGCCGGCGCCCAGCGGCGCCCGCACGCTGGCCGTGCTGCCGTACGAGCGGGTCTTGGTGCGGGCCAGGCTCAGCGACAGCTCGGCCTCCTCGGACTCGGAGCCGGAGCGCGGGCGCGGCGGCGGGGAGGGGGCCGAGGGCCGCGGCGCGCAGGGGCCGCTTTCCCGCAGGGACTGTGCGGGCGAGGAATCCGCCATGGGTCCTGCCGAGGCCGCCGGGTCGGGGAGCTCGCCAAGGGGGCGGCGCCTCCTCCTCCTCCGCCGCCGCCGCCTCTTCCTCCTCACAGGGGCCGCGGCAGGCCGTTCCGCGGGGGCGGCGGGCGGGAAGCCGAGGTGGCGAGCGGCAGGCCGGGCATGGCGGGCGCCTCCTCCTCCGCGTCCTGCCTGCCCCGGGCGCCCGCGGCACACGTACCTGCAAGGGGAAGAGCGAAAGCAGCTCCCGCCGCTGCCCGCCGGTACCGGGAAGACCTTGCGGTGCGAGGGAGCGGGGGCGCGCTGAAGCCCGAGGCCGTGGGGGCTAAGAGAGGCCCATCTACAGTCGTCCTAGGCCCCAGGTGGACCCCTTCTCCATGCCGGCAGAGCCCTGACAGAACCCTGCCCTGGCCAAGGAAAACAAAAACAAAACCAAAAAGCGTTGCTCTGCCTCCTTTATTGATTCCCCAGCAGGAAGCAGCTTGCTCAGACCTTCAAGCTCTGCCACTGCCAAGGGTACTTCCCTCCCCTCTACACCAGTGACCTCAAAGTCCACCTCAGAAAAACTTAAGATCATTAAACACACACAGCTTCTCCAGGTCAATCTCAACAGCTGCAGCATCCAGTCTTTTCAACATTGCACCAGGAGGGCTAGTGCTTCTAAGGCCTGATGGGTGGCCTCAAAATAACTCCCTAGTTGTTCGGATTTCACTCTTTGCACCCTAGTTGTTCGGATTTCACTCTTTGCACCCTAGTGCCGATTTAAGTGCTGTCTGCCTTGAAAGCCTGACCAGATACAATTCATTCTGGCTCAGTTGGAATTTGCTATCTCCATTCATCTTGTTTTCGTCAGTTTATTCTTTGATACCCTGAAATAACAACCCCCCCATATTAATATTATAACCACCAAAGACCTCTTACCTGTACTCTCATCTGAACACCATCTACTCTGAAAACCCTTTGAACACACTGTATGTGCACAGAGTGGGTGCACACTTACTAGAATCTAGTGCCTGGTTTCTGTTGTATTTTGGGCAGCTCTCCAAGAAGAGGTACCTTGTAGGAAGGTCCAGAGCCTGGAGGTTTGGTTCATTGGCTGAAGTTTTGATATGTTGCTGTGTTGGACAGAGGCAAAGCTAATACTGCTCAGGAGACAAAGGATGGGAGAGGAGCAAGCCTCCACATCATCATCCCACTCAAAACTCCTTGAGTGGCTCTCTGGGGACAACAGCATTACTAAAACCCTACACTGGCATTCAAACTATCATTTCTATTTTTATTATTCATGTTCTGATCTGTATACTCCACGTATTCCTGCTAAAGGGAGCCTCTGAAACTGGCCTCGTTCCTACTTTCATACCTTGCATGCTTTTCCCTCCAATGGTAACACCACTCTTCAGTACCCTCTACTACATTTTAAAAATCTTTAAGGTCTGTCTCAAATGATACATCCTCCATGAGATTTTTCCTAATTCTTCCCAATGGTTCCTTTTTCTTACCTGCCCAGGTGTTACTGTTTTTTCTTTGAATTCCAAGAGGTTTGTATTAATATCTCTGGTTTAGTATTTAACTCTGTTTTGTGTTTTTACTTGCATGTACATGCATGTGCTTGTCTTATCTCCTCCACCAGACACATGCTCCTGGGAGGCATAACTGGGTCTTACTCATCTTTTTAGCTCCAGCAGTGCCTAGCTCAGTAGAATAAAAAAATACACATGATTACAAGTGGTTGAATTGAGGTGTAATAAAAAGATCCTAAATGCTAAATTAGATTGTTTAGCATAAGACTACCACACATGAACTTTTGGGTGGCATCCAGTGTGTCCATTTCAGGATGCAAGAGAGAGGCAAAATCTAAGTCTCAGAATATAGATGAGATCAGGTAATGTTTCAAGAAAGAATTATCATCCTTCAAAGAGTTTACAATCTAGTAATGTGACAGCATATAATGTTTTCCACAAGAAAAGTTTACTGCATGACTGGAAGTTTTTATCTGAAGATTAAGGAACTGAGCCTGGTATGATGGCCCATTCCTGCACTTTGGGAGGCTAAGTAAGGAGGATCCCTTGAGCCCAGGAGTTCAAGACCAGCCTGGGCAACATAGTGAGATCCATCTCTACAAAAAATACAAAAACTAATTGGGTATATGTTATACTCCTATAGTCCCAGCTACTTGGGAAACTGAGGCGGGAGTATTACTTGAGCCACCTCACTCCAGCCCCAGCAACGCAACACAGTGAGACCCTGGGATTTTTTGGTTTGGTTTGGTTTGGGCTTTGTTTGTTTTGAGACAGAGTCTTGCTCTGTTGCCTAGGTTGGAATGCAGTGGTCTAATCTCAGTTCACTGCAAGCTCCGCCTCCCAGGTTTGAGCAATTTTCCTGCTTCAGCCTCCTGAGTAGCTGGGACTACAGGCATTCGCCACTATGCCTGGCTAATTTTTTGTTTTTATTTTTGTTTTGAGATGGAGTCTTGCTCTGTCGCCAAGCTAGAGTGCAGTGGTGCAATCTCGGCTTACTGCAACCTCTGCCTCCTGGGTTCAAGCAATTCTTCTGCCTCAGCCTCCTGAGTAGCTGGGACTACAGGCTCATGCTACCACACCCAACTAATTTTTGTATTTTTAGTAGGGATGGGTTTTCATCGTGTTGGCCAGGCAGCTCTCAAACTCTGACCTCAATGGATCCACCAGCTTTGGCCTCCCAAAGCACTGGGATTACAGGCCTGAGCCACCATGCCTCGCCCTGTTTTTTTTTAAAAAGAACTTGGTTACATGAGATGTTATTAGATGTTCATTGTTTTCCTTTTTAAACCAGAACTTCAAAATTGTTTTAATATGTATCTACCTACAACTTAGAAGTTCATCACAATTAATGATGAAACAGTAAAAGCATTTCCTTTGAAGGCAAGGGATTACTGCCTCTACTTAACATTGAAGGTCTTTGCCAATGCAGTTTTAAAAAGAAGAAAGGGAAATGAACATTGAAAAGGAATAAACAAGACAGACGCAGTGGCTCACGGCTGTAATCCCAGCACTTTGGGAGGCCAAGGCGGGTGAATCACAAGGTCAGGAGTTCAAGACCAGCCTGGTCAACATGGTGAAACCCTGTCTCTACTAAAAATACAAAAATTAGCTGAGTGTGGTGGCGGGTGCCTGTAGTCCCAGCTACTTGGAAGGCTGAGGCAGGAGAATCACTTGAACCCAGGAGGTAGAGGTTGTAGTGAGCCAAGATCACACCACTGCACTCCAGTCTGGGAGACAGAGTAAGACTCTGCCTCAATTTAAAAAAAAAAGAAAGAAAAAAGAAACTGTTGTTTACAGATAGTAGGCAATACTAAAATGTTTATAGGCAACACAGACAATGACTACATTGGAACTGTTCAAACAAGAGTTCACCAAAGTTACAAGATACAAGATCAATATGCAAACATCAATTGCATCAATCAATCAGAAAATATAAATGTGAAAAGATGACATTCCAGATGCCACCAAAAATACCTAGGAATAAATTTAACAAAAGTAAAGTGTTCCTGGTGGAGTGGGAGCAGGAAAAAAGAATTTTTAAGATAATAAATAAATTAAAAGATTTTTTAAAAAGAAAGAAAAGTGTACCTTGTGTGGAAAAGTATAAAATTTTTTTGAAGTATATAAAAGAAATATAAATAAAAGCAGAGATATACCATGTTTGTGAACGGGAAATACAAAATAATGAAAATATCATTTTCTTTACAAACTAATGTTAAATTCATTAAAATTCCAAACAAAATCTCTATAGAATTCTTCAAAGGGCATGACAGAGTTATCCTAAAATTCATATGAAGCATAAAACACTAACAAGAGCCAAGGCATTCCTAAAGAAGAATGAGGAAGGTGACTTACCCTCATAGCCATCAAGTCTTAACACTATGAAAACTAAAGCAACGTGGGACTGATGCTGAGACAGATACACATAACAAAGAAACAGTGAAGTAAGCCAGCAAGCAGATTCACATATACTGGAGAACTTAATCTATAACCGAGAGAAAGTTACATATTCAATAAATGCTGCTGAAACAAGTGGTTTCCCGTGTGAGAAAAGATGCGATTAGATCCCTGCCTTATACTATACATTAAAATTAATCATAGATTGATTAGAGACGTAATTGGGAAAAGTGAATTTTAATGCTTTTGCAACAATATTATTATAATCTTGGGATACCAAAGGATTTTTTTAGACAAGATACCAAAATCATATAGTTCACATATCACATAATTCATCCATTTAAAGTGTATAATTCTCTTAATTAAAAAAAAAATTTTTTTTTTAAGACGGGGTTTCACCATGTTGGTCAGGCTAGTCTTGAACTCCCAACTTCAGGTGATCCGCCTGCCCTGGCCTCCAAAGTGCCTGGATTACAGGTGTGAGCCACTACGCCTGGCCTAAAGTGTATAATTCAATGCTTTTCTGTATATTTATATTACATTACTAATTTCTTAAATTGTGACAAATGTACATAACATAAAATTGGCCATTTTAACTATTTTTAAGCATACAATTCAGTGACATTAAATATATTCATGGCCAGGGTGGTGGCTCACACCTGTTATTCCAGCACTTTGGAAGGCCAAAGTGGGTGGATATACCAAAAACCATGAACTGTGCATTTTAAAAGGTGAATTTATGACATGTGAAATATATCTTAACAAAACCGTATTTAAAAAGAAAGAGAGAAAGAGAATGGTTTAATAAAGCTCCATCAGTCAGCTTCAACCATTATCAAACCATGGCCAGTCATTTCATTGATACCCCTACCCCACCACTCTACCCCGTCTCCCACACTGGATTATTTTTAAAGTAAATTCCTGATATTATTTCTTCCATAAATACTCAGTTTATCGCTCCAAAAAGGACTCTGAAAAAAAATTGATACCGTTATCACATTGAAAAAGATTTTTAAATAAGACCTTAGTCCAGGCACTGTGGTTCATGCCTGTAATCCCAGCACATTGGGAAGCCAAGGTGGGCGGATCACTTGAGGTCAAGCATTCTCGACCAGCCTAGCCAAAATGGTGAAACCCCATCTCCACTAAAAAAAGTAAAATAAGAAAATATGTAAATTAGCCGGGCATGGTGGCACGTCCCTGTAGTCCCAGTTACTCCGGAGGCTGAGACATGAAAATTGCTTGAAACAGCAAGGTAGAAGTTGCAGTGAGCCAAGACTGTGCCACTGCACTCCAGCTTGGGTGACAGAGTGAGCCTCTGTCTCAAAAACAACAACAGAAAAACAGACCTTAATATAATCGAATATTCTATGTTTACACTTTCCCAGTTGTCTCATTAATGTGAATTTTTAGCAGCTGCTTTTTCAAATTAAAATCACACATTACATTTGTTATTTGTCTCTTGAATTTCTGTGTATCTATAAGCTTTTCTCCTTTTATTTTTCTGGCAATTTATTTATTGAAGAAACAGTTGTTTGTCATGCAGAGCTTCCTGTATTTTGGATTTTGCTGATTGCATCACTGTGGTATCATTTAACATGATCATGATTACACAGTAATTAGCTTTTAGATGTTTGCTGTTAATTATACTATACATATAATTTAATTCACAATTCACCAACATAGTCACCGCTCCTTTAGTTCTTACCAGCCACCACATCCTTTGAAGCATCCTTGATATAAATTATCTCATTTAGTCTTTATAATAACCCCATATGGTATTATTATCCTCAGTTTAAGAGATAAAGAAAGTAAGGCTTAAGAGAGGTTATAGAAACTTGGCCACAGTCAATCTGCCAGTAGAGATCTGGGTTCAGACTGTCTGATGTTAAAACCCATGCTGTTATCTGTTATATGATAATATCCCATCACATATCCTGTGCCTGTGGTTTGTGGTGGTTGCTTTTAATCAGCTCTAGAAGCAGTCTTTCAGTCCATCCAAAGAATATACTTTCACATTTCATCTTTAACACTTAGGAGGCTTTTAGCTTCAAGTAACAGAAAACTACATCTCAAATTGACTCAACAATAAGGATATTTTTTATATCATATAACAAGAGACCCAGAACAAGGGCAGCACTGGGGCTGGTTGATGACTGACTCAACAACAACATGGCAGACCCAGATTCATTGTATCTCTTTACAATGGCCAGAACTAGGTCACATGCCTCCTTCTAAACTGTTAGAGGCCAGTTAAGAAGATCCTATTCCTCTTGCCTACCATAGACTTGAGAGTGTACCTCTCAGTCTAATGGGGTCACCTTTCCTACTGTGCAAACACTGATATAGGCTTCCATAAAAAAGAAGAGGGTGAACTGAATGTCGAATAGACAACCAACAGTATCTACTACCTGTTCCTAATGAGGTATGTTACATATTCCAATATGAATAATTAAAATACTTCATTGTAACTGCCACATTGAACTTTTTTTACTTTCTGCCATGTGACAGTTACTGTCAATATATCAGTTTCCTCATTTACAGGAAGAAATGGCTTAACAAGATGATCTGTAAGGTCCCTTGTAGCTCCAGGAGTTCTGTTTCAATTTTACATTTTCATCTTCTAAATAGAAAGTAGAAAAATCAAACATACAAGATACAGTCCAGAAATGATAATGGGTTTTAACTGATTAAGTCATAGGCATATTGACATCCTTTCTCCCTTAAAATAAGATATAGGCATTAAATATAAAGAGCTAAACAGGCCAGGCGCAGTGGCTCACGCCTGTAATCCCAACACTTTGTGAGGCTGAGGCAGGTGGAGCACAAGGTCAGGAGATCAAGGCTATCCTGGCTAACATGGTGAAACCCTGTCTCTACTAAAAATACAACATTTAGCCGGGTGTGGTGGTGGGTGCCTATAATACCAGCTACTCAGGAGCCTGAGGCAGGAGAATCGCTTGAACCAGGGAGGCGGAGGTTGCAGTGAGCTAAGGTGGCACCACTGCACTCCAGCCTGGGAGGCAGAGTGAGACTCTGCCTAAAAAAAAAAAAAAAGAGCTAAACAGACTGGAACTGGTAATATCTTTCCATTAAGTTTTAACATTAGGTTAAATGTTCTACCTTCCTCACTCATCCGTTAATACCTTCCAGCTTCCAACACATATCATACAGACAGAGACTCATGAGAAATGCCTTTTCACAACTCACTTTCTTTATTTTGGTGTCAGCATCCTCCTGGAGTATGGCTCTGGGGCTGTAGGATAGCTCTTGCATCTCTGCTTTGACTGCCAACTATGACTTTAACTTAAATCATTTCCCTGTCTGCTTCCTTTCATGACTGGTTTCTGAAGGAATACTCTATTTCTTTTATCACATGTAGCCATTTTCCTTGTGAGGAACCACAGGAAACCAGAGAGAAATACTGTACACTATTGGGCACCTTTGCTAGGCTTTCTTCCAATATGAATGAAATTGCTTTATTATTTTCAGCATATGCCTACTTTCAGCTTTCTCTGGGAAAACTGCTGACTCCATCTGTGAGCAGTCCTGTTCTTATTTAACAGAAGACTATAACTGTAACAAATGCACAACATGAAAAGGTGAAAGGCATCCTGTTGGTTACACAGAACATTCGGAATAACAAATGTACAGGAAAACTTGGGAACGTGACTTAAAATAATTTAGTCACACACCCATCTCATTTAACTCTTTCTGGCTCAGATTTGTCATTCTGACAGGAGGCCCAGGGTACAGCCCATTACCACAATTAATCGCAGAAACAACACTAGTCTCTCAGTCAGCAGCCACTGTGTGCCAGTGTTCATGTTGCTAGTTTCCAGATTTTTAGAGGATTAACTTTATTTTCTGGTTCAATCCATCTGCTGGGAAAGGTATGGCCCTATTTTGAAACGTGCAAAGGAGAGTCAGTGCTGGGGCTGCCCACAGTTGGAAGGAGAGAAGACAGGCTTACTGACCACCTAGATGACCTTGAATCAGTCCCATCACCTCTCTGGGCCTCTTATAACTATCACTGGGGAAAAAAATATCCTCACTCTGCCTGTCTCACAAGGGTTCTTGTAAAAATCAAATGAGAACACGAATAGGAACGTATTTACATAAATGCAAACCAGTGTTAATCATTTTCAGATATGGAATTTCCTCTGCAGCACTTTTTTGGCCACATGATTACTGCGCACCTCGTGCCGGACAGACTATATAGCTGTCTCACCTCTTTTCACATTTTGCCTAAAATGTCATACAGAGATCACACCAGCCATGCTGCATCCATCCCTTTGGTTCTTTTTCCTCCAATCACATCTCCGAATGCAAATCCCACCATCATGTGAAACACTGCATAGCAGCAACTTGCAAAACTCAACGAACCTTAAACTGTCAAGACAAGACCCATAAGCAAAGGTTATGCCCAAAATAGGCTGCAAGGGTTCAAGAAGGAGAGAGAGAACACATCTAATTAGAAAAGGCTTCTGGAAGGTACATCTAGATGCCATGTGTTTTCATAATGTTGGTCTTTGTCCTGTGTCACCCCCCACTACTGTCATGCTTCAGAAACTTGAGGTTATTTTCTCTCTCTTTGGAGCTCTCAAGAACCCGGCAGAGAGAACCTCTTAGGGTATATTCAGGGATGAAGTGAACCAGCTCGACGACTAACAAACTCAGTGGATTTTGACACTTACCCAGCCCAACGAGGCCCGACTACCTTTAGGTTAGCACGATATATAGGACTTTCCCGGTCCACCCGGTCCAAGAACTCCCTCGGAACCCTCACGGAAGGAACTTTCACTGAGTAGGCACTAAGTGCCAGACCCTAAGTGCTAGGGTCGCTTAATCCTCACAACACTTCTTCAAGCTTTAAGCCTGTTTTACCGTGAGGACGCGAAGGCTCACACAGGCTAAGTTGTCCGGTCTCACATAAGTGAAGCCACCACTGCGCGTGTGCTCTCCGGGCCCTCAGGCCATCACCCTAGAGCCTTGCTAACCTCCGCCCCGCTGACCTCCGTCCCTCCCTAGGCAGCCAACCCAACCACTCTCTCCTCTCACGCCCCCGCCCAGCCAGGAAACCCTCGGGCGGGCGGCGTCTGTACCTGAGCCCGCTCTCCCGGCGGCTTCCACGTCGGGATGCTCGCTCACCCGAACGCTCCTCAGAAGCTTGCAAGCCTTTGCCGCCCACGCGCTCCGGGGCCCCGAGCGTCTCCCAAGAGCCCGTCCAGCCTTTCCGCCGGCCCAGGCGCGTCCTCCCCTGCAGAGTGGTGAGGGGGTTCGGACCCCGTTTCCAGGAGGGGACACCTGCCGGGGGAGGGCGGCGCTGGGCGAGGGGTGGGGGGAAACTCCGGGGCCGCGGCCAGGCGCTGCCGGGAACTACGCTTCCCAGCCTGCTCCGCTGCAGCGGCGCGCTCCGGCGCCGCGCCCGGCCGGGAGCTGCCTGTTGATCACCGCGCTCGCCGCGGCCACGGCGCCGCCCCTGCTCTGCCGGCCCCGCTCCACCGGGGCTGACGGACTGACTGCCCGCACCGCCGGCTCCGGGATGAGCGCACGGACGGGTGAGCGCGCTGGGGACGGGTGGGCCTGCCCGGGCCAGCAGCTGTCTGCAGCCCCCGGCGCCGCAGCGCGGTGGCCGCCGCGCCCTCCCTGCCTGCGGGAGGATGCTCCGCGGCGTCGGCGCTCGGCCAGGCGGGAGCGCAGAGCCCCGCCACCTCTTGCCTCTCGCCTCCCGGCTCGGCCGGCTGCGCGGGGAGACGAGGCGCCGCGCGCGGGCGGTGCGGGCGGAAGGCGCCCGCCGGGTTGTGGATCCCGCGCCCTGCACTGCGGTGCCGCAGCCTCTGCAGCCCGCTGGGCCGCGGCAGGGAGGGCGCGGTCTCCTATCCTCCCGGGCTGCGGGGCTGTATTCTTCCACGCCGGGCTTTGTTCACCGCTTCCCCCCTCTTCCTGTGCATGTTTGAGGAGCTCCTGGAGCGGTAGGCATCTCCCTGCCTCGTTCAGCAGGCTTTAGGGAGGGGTGGACTGGCCGGCCTCTTTCCTGAGATCGCTGGAGCTGTCACTCGCAGGGCGTTTCAGCCTCCCAGAAAGCTGCCTCGAGCGGATCCTCGAGAGCCTTATTATTATTATTATTATTTTCCTGGTTCAACTAATGGTGGTATGTACTCCCTTCACGCTTCATAAATTTTTCCTGTTGACCTTCGGAAATGAAGGTGGATTTTTAAAATAATAATAAAAGGCTCCTAATGGGAATTTTTAGAGTATTCAGAGGTGGAAAGGTGATGCCGTCACAATGCAAATTAGCAGTGAAGGAGGCCGTGCTTGCTGCAGCTTCGTCTGTGCCCATTGCATATCTGAATCACGAGCCATTTGGAAAAGGAATGAAAAGAATATCGGGGGAAGGTATTTTAAAAACCAGGTTCTCCTCTTAGCTTGACCATTCAGGAGCTGAGGGACCTGGGCAAGTCTCTTCACCTCTCTGGGCCTCTGCATATAAAGTGGGGCGTTTTGGCTAAATGATTTGTAAACCTCTGTTCTTCCAAGATTCTCCCCTCTCAGGGAACTGAAGAAATGAGTGTTTCTGTTTAACACAACTACAAAAAGCCTGATTGTGACAACAAGCAGCTCTCCCCTAGTGAAGAGGAAACATTTTAAAGAGCTTCAGCAATGTGATTTTTTTTTAAGTTAAAACTGATTTTCTCTATCATCAGTCTAACCCAATAAATATGCATTGCAATCATTTTAATTTTTTTAAGGTACTTTACCTTGATGGGCAACAAAGTGATGGCGTTTGCTTTTGTTTTTGATTTGCTGAAGGTGAAGTGATGGGATCAACAGAAAGGGTTAATGGCTCTCTAGGGCTGAGCTTGAGTGGTCAAATGTAGTCAGCCAGGAGGTGGGGGAGGAAACCCCAGCAAGAAGTAACCAGGGTGTATATACACAAAAAAGAGAAGATGCATACTGATGGGCATTGTTTGAAAAAGAAATACACAATAGAAGGAATGAGACAATCAGAAACTGCAAACCCTAACATAACAGCGCTAGGCAAACCCTAACATAACAGTTGAATAAGACAAGGACTTAGCAACTGGTCCAAAACCTTTGAGTGAAAGGTGGTTGGGGAATAGGATTTTCATATTATTTCAAAGTATCACACCACAGATTGCTCAAGGGAAATTTGTCCTTGCAGTGGAGAGATGGGGAGGTCACTATCAGAGCCAAGTGACCAAGTTTAGCAGCATAGACTGTGAGTCTCCTGTTGTAAAGCAATAAGGAGGCATAACTTCACCTCGGTAGTATTCTTAGCAAAAAGACTTGGCAGTGCAGCAGAGCAAATGGGGGGCAACTACTGTAGATTAAAATCTTCAAGTGATACAACAGTGAATTTGCAAGTGTGAACTTTGAATACTGGACGAGAAAAAAAAGCTATAAAAGACAATTTTGAGACAGTTGGGTGTGTTTGAATATGGATTGCATGTGAGATGATATTAGGGAATTGGTGTTAATTTTCTTAGCTGAGATAATGGTTCATTCTGTGGTTATGTAGAAGACCAGGCCATCCTTACTCTTTGGAGATGTGGATATTAGAGGTAAAGTGTCATGACTTCTGCAACTTTCAGCTGTGTCTGAAAAAAAAAAGTACAGGGGTAGCACAGCAAGTTCAGGAACTTGGCAAATGTAGCAGAATGATGACAGTTGGTGAATCAGGAAGAATACAAATATTATTGTGCTATTCTTTTAACTTTTCTATAGATTTGAGCTTTAAGAAATGGGGGAAGTCAGCCAGGCGTGGTGGCTCGCCTGTAATCCCAGCACTTTGGGAGGCCGAGAGCATGCCATTGCATTCCAGCCTGGGCGACAGAGTGAGACTGCATCTCAAAAAAAAAAAAGGAGGGGTGGGGGGAGTCAATAAAATAAATAAGTAAATAAGAAGAAAGTATTGTAGAGGACTGGGTGGTTCATGACAAATAGCTGCAGTGACTCTGTGGGGAATTTCTTGGCTTCACCTTCCAAAGATTGAAATCACCTGTTGGAGGTGCAAGTCGTGGCGGGCGGGGGGGGGGGGGGTTCCCTTTTTTGGTTTATCTTGGATACTCTCAATCATTTATGCTTAAGATATATCATGCTCTAGCTTCAATCTCAAAGTAATAGTAATTCCCCAAACCTTAGAAATTCTAGCTCTACCCAAGAACCATCCTGAAAGTGCTGTCCCTTTCCTCTCTGTGTCCAAGATCTGTGTCAGTGTGTAAGGAAGTTGGAGAACATAGGCAGTGATTCATTTTATTTTGAGTTAGGGAAGTGTTAGGGAGGAAATGATTTAGCTTTGTGATAGAACAGAAGTTGTGGGGTTTCCTTTCATTCTTTTGTGTGTAAATTATATACAACCAAATGTTTTCCTTATAGACTATAAGTGATTCAAAGAGGTTCATAGAAGGCATATGCATAAGAGACTCCCTGTTACCAGACCACAAAAACAGAATCAACTCTTAATAATAAAACGCTTAATCTCTTATGGAGAATCCTTTGCTGCAAAGATATTTTTGCTTTACCTGGATGGTATGTGTATGTGTATATATAAAAATATGAATTTAAAGTACACATATTTACTTGTATGGATGCCTATGTGTATCTGTGAATCTCTCAGTCAGTATTCCCCAAAATATATAGAATGTTAATGGGTTACAAGAAAAAAAAAGTGACTAGCCAGATATGGTAAACACTAGAGTAAACAAAGCTGGAAAAGTTTGTTTAGTCTTGACTTTTCAGAGCCTTTCATGGTTAATGATCATTGTATATGGGGAGGTAATTGGGGTAAGAATGTCTATAGTCTGATATATAATGTTCCCCAAACTCTGTGCAAAAAAATGAAAACTATCTTGAGGGACTACCGTTACATGGAACCAACTTTGAGAAACTGCCTTAAATGCATTTTTGAGTGAAAGGTCAGGACATATAAATAAAGGTATAATTTTTAAGTAATTGTGCTTCCCATTACCTACAGATTAGAATTCAAACTTCAGTTTCTGGTTTTAATGGAGCACAACACTTTGACCCCGTCTACTTTTTCAACCTAAGTTTCCCATCTTTCTTCCTATAAACTCTCCTGCTTAGTCCTTTGTTGTATACTATGAACCATTTTTATTTTCAGTATACCAAAAAATCAATTATACATACCTTTCAGGCGCTGTGGTCAGGTAAAATGAGAGGCATTTTTTTTGCTATGGCTCTTCCATGGACTGGGATAGCCACCTTTCCTCCCAAAGCCATTTTGAGTTCCTTGGCCTTGGTCCCATGTTTCAGCACAACCTTCCTTAAAGCTGTGATTTCATGCTATTTCAGCTTTTATGATTTGCCGTCCTGTTTCAACATCAAGGCTGCCTTACTAATTACCCTAATTACCTCTTTCACATGTGTCACCAGTATTCCTGAGTTCCCCTAATGACAGCCAGGTAGGGTGGGGATGAGAAGGTCAGTTCCAGGACTGTGAGTTGCTGGAGCTCATGTAACAGGGAACAAGGCCAGCGTGCCAATTCTGGACATCAGGAAAAAGGAGACAACCTGGGGTATAAGCCCTAAGAAAGGACCAGGAGGCCCCTCATCAGAGTGGTTAGAGGTGTGTGGAGTCCAGTGAGCTGGGCGGCTATTCAAGCAGTGTGCATGGGGACAACTATCCTCACTGTTGATAAACAACCATTCTGACTGGGCAGTGTCCATTCTATACCAGTTGCTAAATGTTTTGCACATCATTTAGGTAAGCACTCACAAGTCAGGGTACATGCAGCATCCGTAAGTCATAACAAAGCCTAGATCAAAACCCAGGTGGTATATAGACGCCGAAGAAAGAGACGAAGATGAGTGAGTCAAAGACCACATAAACAAGCAGAAGAAAGGAGTACACATGAATCAAAAGACAAAAAGCAGGAAACTCGAGGTGCCAATCAGGAAGTTAGAAGAAGCCCTTAAGTTCCCAAAGGCAAGGGGAAGGAACATGGTTAAAAGCAGCAAGCAGTTAAAAACCAGAAAGGCACAGATCTCCAAGTGGAAGGCGAGGAGGTAGATAGAGGTCAAGAAACAGGAACTCCTCTAAAAACAGAAAAGAAGGCCAAACACAGGGAGAAGGCAACAGCGGGAAATAGGACCCGCCATGAGAATTAGAAACCAAGAGGCAGGCTGGGCAGATAGCAAGACTTTTTGGCTTTTTGGCTACTTCCTACCCAGGTGGAAATCTATCTCATAGCTTGGCCAGCTTACACTATGGTGGCTTTCTACACCTGGCAACGCTGACCTGCAGCTCTGACACGTTCTGCCTCTTCGTATTCAGCAGACCTTGATGGGGAAAACAGAGGGAAAGAACAACCAAAAAAGATTATTCCACAACCAAGGACAAAAGAGAAATAGCGTTGACTGAGGACTTGGGTGTGCTAGACACTGTGCCTAATATGTATATGGTCATCTTAAGTGTCACCTCAGCCTTCAGAGATAAGCTCTATCCTTTGCGTGTTTTTCAGAGGAAGGAACAGAAGTTTGGAGAGGTTTTCACTGCACACATACCTGCACCATCAGACCTTGGGTTGGTTAACTCTAAGACCCGTGCTTTTAGTCTTCTGTGTTCTTCTAACCTTGGATAGGAGCAGTCACTAGTGGGCATATTGTTATAAAAAGGAACTGTTTT